ATTTACATACAATCTTTTTCAAAAATCAAGTTTAAATCGGTGAATGCAACTTTAGCTAAACTGCTGTTTTCTCCAGTTTAGCTGAAGTTAGCTGAAGCTAGTGGAATAAGTCATCTCTGAATCACAATTTGCAGCACATACCTGTGTGCAGGCAAATCTAAGTCAGGACAAAATTACCTCTTTCCAAAGCAGCTACCTCAGGCCACAGCTATGGGTACAGCTAATCCTAAGCAGAGCAGCACATATTTTGTTCCAAGTTTAAAAGGCTGGAAGTGTGAGTCAAAACAGAGCAGGAGAAAGGAAGGAACTACTGTGATTCTGAGACTTCTTTGAGTATCAGCAGAAGGCAACGTGTCCCACCTGCCTTAAGAATAAAGAGTTCCTCATTAGAAAGATGACAAGCCGCCTCTTGTGACAAAGTTAGCCTGACAGCTCTTTATCGCAGAGTAGATTAGTCTTATTTCAAGGATATCACACTGAAATAAACAGGGAGGTGGAGGAGGGGCTATGAAGCCAGCAGCCTGTTAAATGAAAATGCAGTTTGCAAAGAATAGCCTTTTGTGTAATGTCTCCCAAGGAAATAACATTTCTTTCCAGACAGGACTGAATCACAGGCCCCAGGATAGGCTGAAGAGGACACCCTGCTAGAGTGAAAACAGTCTTTGCACAGGGGTCATCACTGACTTGAAAATGGACTTTCGGAAGGCATAAATGGTTTCAGTTACACCTTGACTAAAACACTGAAGTGGGTGGAACTTGAGTTTATGCAACTTGATGGGGCTTTCCTGGGCTCAAAGTGCAAAAACAGAAGGAGTACCCAAAGGAATAAAAAGTGCAAGAAAGCCATCTCTACCCTACCATACGTCATCTTACAGTCCCACGTAGGAAAGATGCCTACAACACATCTACACAGGATCTGTAGAGTGTTTCAAGACATCTATCATCCTCCTGAGACAAAGAAGGTATGATAAAGCTGAAATTTAGGTTTCCTATGCCTTCACGTAGCTTTTCTACAGACACAAGCCCTCCAAAGCCCACATGGAAGGCAGCAAGACACAAGTAAGCATGTTTAGATCTAAAAGCAGTGAAATCAAGAAAGAAAAGATTGTCATTTGCTTACATTTACAAACCATGTCAGCAAAACAAGCTAAGGACTCGGACTTGATTCCAAACTCAGCATTGTTTCATGCCGCATCCTGCAAAAAATAAAGGACTGTCACCTCACCTTTTAAACTCCTGAGGAAGTTACTGATGTCCGGTAAACTCCAACAGGAAATCACTTCAGAACAGCTAAAGATAGTAAGACAGTGTTGCAGGTATAAACATTAGCCTCACAAGGGTTTATAATAACTAAACTCTATGGCAGGAATGTTCTCCTTTCTGCCTCAGAGAGGGTTTAAGCTAGAATGCACCAAAGCAAAAACTGAAATCACTATGTTTCATAAATCCCTCTCACATCAAGTCGTCTTTGTATCTCTCTTTTCAGCTGTATGCACCACAGAAAACAGATGGCGACACAGCCAAGAGGATTTTGCCTGGACTGTTCAAACTACTTTAATCATGTACGAAGACAGCCAGAAAGCAAGTAGGACAAATAAGACTTCAAGGACTCCTCAGGCTAATTTTGCATGAACCCATGTGGCACACTGCACCAGTGACCAAGGCCGGAAAATTTCAAATCATGGTTTAGGCTGATTTATAACACACAAAAGAGAGGTGTCACACTGCCACAGTCCTATGGAGCAAATAAAATCACTGCAAGTGAGTCAAGAGCAGAAACCATGGCACTAGAAGAATGGCAGACCACACAGGTGATGATGAGAAAGTCCATCTTTATTAAAAAGATTAAAAGTTCAGCGGAAATCTCATTACAAATGCTGAACAGTGCGTGGCACAGAAAACCGCATCAAAGGAAATTCTGCTCATTGATGAAAACACTGGAACAATGCTGAAGTCTGCCATTAGTATGAGATGATCACCGCTACTGAATTTTTTTTTTAATCCCATGATATGGAAGGACAGGCCTATGTGCTTCAAAGAAAGCCTCTTTCAAAGAGAAGTATGAGCTTTCATGCACCTATACCATAAACACTGCAGACCAAAACCATCCTCCTTCCAGAAGGATACTCTAATAACGTGTAGAAATACAATCCAGAGCGATTTAAAATAATTAAACACAGCATATTTAACAGATTAACATTCAGACACTTTATTAATAGATTTTTTTTCTCTAGATAAGAAGAAAGGCCAGGAGATGTTTTAGGACACAGGAACAGGTGGACTACAAATCTGTTCATCTACCTATGTAGACCCATCACACTGCACACAGCTCATCAAGAAAGACCTGAAAGAAGCTTGAAAAGTTTATATTTGGGGGAAAAAGCATGGGACAGGGATGAGAGGGGGAGGAAAAGAGACCCAGCATCCTCATTGCAAAACAGACCAAGAAAGACACCTCTCTTTCCACCCAGTGTCTGTGCTGAGGTTATTTTGGTCTACCTATATTGGTTAAAAATCATCTGTTAGGTCAGTTTATACCTAAGGGTTTTCTAATACTAACATGCCTTTGAAAAAAATACAGAGATAAAGCACATTTTACTGTCAAAGCTCTTCTCAAAAATGATGTCGGCTCAGCATCCCTGTGAGGTAGGCAAAAATTAGCTCTGTTTTCTGAGACCCAGAGAAGTTGAGCAACTTCCTCAAAGCCCCGGTGAAGAAACAGTGTTATTTATTATCAATATCCTTAAAAGCCTGAAATGATCTTTGTCTTTTTTACAGCCAGGGAATCAAAAGCATTTTAGATGGATTTTCATCCCATTCCTAGTATTATACTGCATTGAAACCCTCCCACCCAGACAAGTGTTCTACGAACACATACAAGTATACAAGACTCTTGTTTCATCTCTGTAACAAAAAATGCTCGTCCTTCCCAGCACTAAGCAGGCATCCTGCACAGGGGGCTTTTCTCTACTGGCAAATCGTAGCTTAGCTACAACTAGAGTTACATATGCCACCCCATCAATGACCTTTTCCTAGATTTTTCTCTCCACCAGTACAAGAATTGCAGTTATCAAACATATGAGCCGTGTTGTAGTTACTTCAAGGAATTTAGCTCGAGTACTCCACTGTATGGAAAAGGAATAGAAAGGGGTAACTACATTCTTTTAAACAGATAGCATAAAAGAGCAAGCTATCACAAAACAAAACACTCAGCTGCTAAGAAGGATAGCAACAAAGCCATGCTAGGCTTAACCTAATAAAACCACCTATCCAAAAGGGTAAGATTAACAGATTAACCAACTCAAGCCATGTCTTTTGCTTCGCAGAAAAGTTAAGTGGGTTTCTAAGCTAGACTCTTCTTTAGGTCCGCAATGAAGTAACAGTAGACACTGGGTTGTACACAACTGTCTTGAAAGCTGCTTCCAAAAGCTTCTGGCTATCTCCCTCCATTTGGCTGAGCTGAACTTCAGCATCTTCTCATCCTGTTCCTAACCTATACAAATCTTTAGCTGTAGAAAGCAGCACCCAGTTGCCTTTTGGCTTGTGCCTAGTCACATTAGAGATCATCTGCCCAATTTTAATAAAAGGTGAACCTGGGGCTTGCAAAATCTGCCTGGAGAGAATCCTTATAGTTAACTACAACTCAGCTGTGAAGCAACAGACCAACAGCCGGGTAACAGGAAGCCATAAAAACAGTCACTTGAACTAACCTCGTATCCACTCAGCTTTACCGCTGTCAGTACGCTCCACTAATGTAACACCCAGCATTTTCAGATGAACACCACAAGGGCATAATTTACCTAGGACAGATGCAGGATAATGCTAAGCTTGTGTTGGTAGTTTATTGCTCACCTTTAAAAGCCTACTCTCGTTTGATTCAAAAGCAAGGTTGTGCTCCAGGCACCAGCAGCTCCCGTCCAACAGCTGTATCGATTCCAGTCAACCTTTTCACAACTTCTGTGAATAAACATTTCACCAAAACCTCACGTATAAGAAACCAATACTTTTTCTTCAACCAAGAAGAGAGTTCAGGTGCTACCAGGAAACACGGAACGGACCAAACTCATCCTAGGTTATGGCTCCACTGAAAATCACTGGTATTTCCCAGCTGAGTTTGGTATGGTCTGTTTTTCACACAGCTACATATCGACTGAAATTACCCATTCCCCAAAAGGCCATGTGAATCAAGTGGCAAAACCTGCAGAAGAAAATTAAAATCATAAGGTGTAGAGGTGGAAAGAGGTGGGGAACCCCACTTCACAGCTAACTTATCACATAAATGTGTTTTCAGTCATGCAAACCCTCTACTCCATTAGAAAAAGAACATGTTAGCAAAAATATTTCCATCCCTTTCCCAGTCCCAATTTTTGGGCCGAGCCAATGCAAGAATCCTGATTTCTTCCTTCTAATCTTGTATCTTTTTCCTTTGTTGCCACCAAGGCTTCTTACAGGGCCTCTTAAAAAACGACGTTCAGCTATAATACTCTGGGCCTCTAAATAAAAAGAGAGAATGACAACTGGAAAAACCAGTTTTTCCAACTAAGAATACATCCATTTATCTGTATCCAGCCAGAGAATTCTGTCACCCTGTCTGTCAGATCCCCTCAACTCCAAGACTGTCATTTCAGAGAGTAAATCCTAAGCAAATGCAGAAATGAAAGCCACTGGTTTTCCTAGGTGTTGAGGGCTTTTCAGTTGCATAATTTGCATTTATGACTTCAACTTTCTTAGAGGGATAAAGTTTACTGGTTTTTGTCTTAAAGCTTATGCGGTGGGCCAGTCGTGCTCCATTTTAGCATCAGCATACCACAGAAACACATTGACTATAAGGAACAAGCAGAGGCAACAGCGAATGCTTGTGTATCTGGTGTCTTCCAGGGGCTGGGAAACATAAGTTCAAAGTTCGGCTAGGAAAAGAAAAACAAAAAAGATTAAAACATACAACAGATGAAGATGAACTATGGTCACAAGGGAGCGAAGCGAGAGCGCCTGCATTGCTGTGACACTAAACATTTGGCAGTGCTTTGTGTTTACCGCGCAGGAGACACTGGAAGCCCTTGACCGCGGTAAAGGAGTCATAAGAGCAATCCTTGTGCTTGTAAATGGAAAGGAGAGTTTATATTTGAGGCTCAGGCTTATTTCCGTTAACTTAACGGTGAAAGCCCCTCAGAATTCAGTGGCAGAAGCACAAGGTTCTTTAAACGTTTCCTTGTTCTCAAGTTGCATTGTTCCTCCTGAAGCAACGCAGCGCAGGTCATCCCTTCCAAAGGACTGACAAAGCACTTTTCAGAAATCTGTCGTGCAAGCTAACTGAGACCAGAAATTATAAAATTCACATACAATCATGAGCTCAAGAAGGTCTCTCCATTCTTCCTACTGTCCGTAACAGGTCATCCACCCACATCGACCACTGTTAATTGGTGTTAATACTGAGTTGTGAGGCCTGACTCTACAGCTCCTGTTACAGTTTGGGGAGAGCCCCGGCTGGTGCTAGGGTAATACCACAAACATAGAAGAGCCCCAAGAGGAGATTGAGTTTGGCTGTCCGCTGAGGAATTTTGTTGAAGCTCTGACTCCGAAACTGCCTCTCCAGTGAAAATGCCATTGGGATGGTGAGAAGAGGCAAGGCCATGCTGATGGTGTAGCGTGTGGCCAACACACAGAAAATCAGGTAGGGCAAGAAGAGCAGCACGGTGTAGAGAATGTAGGAGAAGGCAGGGCCGATGAGGATAGCCAGGGTGACAATACCCGCCTGTTGGTCAGACTCCATGTCTCGCGTGTTGTTGCTGTGCAGGATGGCCTCGGTACTGAGAGCTAGTGGGATAGCGTAGAGCAGCGGTGAGACAGACAGATAACCAACCTGCACAGCATGGGCAAACATGACAGCCAGGGGCCCAAAGGTGATCAGGATCACCACGTCTCCAAGTGCAACATATTTAAATCCAATTCCTGTGGCAAGACACAAGAATAAAATGAAGTGTCATCAAACGACTCAAACTACAGAGGAGAATGGATTTTTTTTATAACAGATCAGCTGTTCCCACAGAAGCATTGTAAAAAAACAACAGGTACATACCTAAAGCTGACAAACGTTCTCTCTTTTTTTCTTTTCTAAAGGTAATAAAAGAAAAGCAGCTTCTGAATTTCTCCAGCCAAACCACTCGACAAAATTAAGGGCCGGGTTCTAATACCCTTCTTCACACCAAGAAATACCCTATTTCCACAGAAATCAATAGAAATAAGGCACTCTCTACAGTGATCAGACATACTAGATCTGACCCTGAAGAAACAGATAAAACGCTCAGAACAAAACACAAAACTGACAAGGCTCTTTCAAGTAAACTCATGCGACAGTTAAAAGTTTGCTCCTGTTTTCCTAAGCAAAATATTTTATGTTTGTATTTACCCAACCCAGGAAGACATCAAAACATCCTCTTCTATGCAAAAAAAAATTCTCTCCTTAGTAAAAACAAATACAAAAACTATTCTACAGTCCCAGTGAAACTCCTTCTGAAGAATAACAACATATTCCAACACAATGCATAATGTAATTCTACCCATAAAAAAGAATATATGCAGTGAGCTATACAGTCAAGGGACACCAGATACACATCATCCAACGTTTCAGCAAGTTTTGAAAAGCACCTAAAGTCATATATGCAATAATGTCTCAATAGCACTTGCCAGCTGAAGAACTGAGTGCATCTACTCCTATGCCTTCCCAAAACAACCAGTGACAAAGAATACTAGTCTAAGTATCAGTACTCTAGGAAGTGTCACCAAATAGCTGTACAATAGTTAACCAGATCACTTGGAGCTTCCAGAAGCCCTTAGATAAGTCAGTAAACTCTCCCACGTCCGCATCAGAATCACAGGGAATGGGATATAACGCTTACCTCCAGTATAAAGGAAGGAGCTGGAAAGTCCCCCGAAGTAAATCAAGGCCAGGTGCTCCAGCTTGAGTGTAGAGACACAGTAGAGCCCAGCAGCACAGATACAGCCCACAGTGTAAAGGAAGACTCCAAACCGGACTACATCCTGAGGTTCTAAAATCTGGTCCACCAAAGTCCTGTCATCACTCTTCTTGTGATCAATGCCTTTGGAGAAGTCATAGTAAGTATTCACCAGGTTGCCTGCTCCATGCACAGCGAGGACAGTCACAGCGCTTCCCACCAGCAGCCCTGGATCTAGTGCTCCTTGGGCCCGGTACGCCAGGGCGCTGCCGAGCGCCACCGGGGTGAGGGAGGCACTGAAGCTCCAAGGCCTGAGGGCCAGCACGTAGGCTGCACATTTCTGCCTCCAGGAGCCGGGGGGGCCCCTCTCCGGCACAGCCAGCCCGGAGACGAAGTCGCTCCTCTCGCCGCCCCGGGGGCTCTCTGCGCCAATGCTGATCTTCTGCATCAGCTCTCCCGACCCCATGCTCTGCCCGCGGTCCCGGCCACACCGCCTCACAGCAGCAGCACCTGGGAAGGAGAAGGGCCGCGCGTCAGCCTCGCCGCCCGGCCCCGGGGCCCCAACGGCCGCGGG